ATCTCAAAGACAAGGTGGCTGTGATTACTGGCATGGGCAACAGTGAAAGCAGAAGAGTCTAACTTGCAGAGGTCTTTGTACTTGTTAGTTGACTATTGTGTCCTTTTAGCTCCTGAGTGGCACAAAAGGTTTAGCACTTGATTACTAGTTGTATTACTAGTGCGTTATATATTGGGCTACCGGCCACAACGTTCTCAGTTTGAAACCACCAGATGGCTCTGTGGGAGAAAGATGAGGCTTTCTAACTCCATAAACTTTCACAGTCTCAGAAACCCATAGGGGCAATTTTACCCTGTCCTATAGAGTCACTCTGACAGTGAGTGTGGAGTTTTTTGTTGATGGTAACTGATGAACTATAGGAGTCCTGAGATACCACGGGCCACCATTCAGAGGAGACATTGATGCTGGTCAGGTCATTGGTGGCGTCTGGCTTGAGGTGTAGCACAGCAGGCCTGGTGTGTCTATAATTCTACCCTGTGGTTATTTGTGTGGTTCTAGAAGGCACAATTAGAATCAGGAGATTCAAAAAGTGATAAGATCCCCAATTTGGCTCCCTAACATGAGGACTGAGGGTTGTTATTGGCATTTGATAAGGTACAGTGAGTACAAGAAGAGTAATACAGATGCTTGATTCTTTCCTTTTATTTAGATTTTTATTTAAGATAAAAATTGCTTACATCATATCTGCCAAAGATGACCAAATATTCACCACCCCTTTTATTTAATCACATTTTCAAGCCAGGGGTTTTTGATGTTTCAATACATATATATTTGATATGTTTCAATTAACTGTAGGTGTTCTTTGTGATATTCAAATTGCCTCTCAAGTCTTTCTGACATGACCCCATCAAACCTTGTATGTCCCCATTTTTCTGTCAAGCCTCATCTTGTACTTTCCTGTCACATATCTGTAATCCTTTCTCTATGGAATTCTATTTTCTTTTTAGGACAACTCATTGTAACACAATTGGTTATTGTTTCCAGAAACTTTCAGTGGACAGTTAGAAAACATAAATAATAATAAAAAAAAGACCTCAAGATCATATAGTAATACTTCCTATTCAAATTTTTAATTGGAAGTTAATTACTTAACCTCTTTTGAGTTTCTTCCTTATGCTAAAAATGTTGGTCCTTAAAGATATCTTTTAATTATTTTCCTTGAACTTACTGAATCTTTTTAATATTTATCATAACTACTCAATTGCATTAGCCTATAATTATATGTTTCAGAATAATAAAATCAACATTGTCACTAACAATATTACCATTACTATTTTTTCTTTTATCTTTAGAATTTATCCCACTAGGAATTTACTGTGTTTAGTTACTATATTTAATGGCATTTGGAACACTTAATCTGTGTAGTTTGGCTATTAGCTTCCTATATGTTTTTTAAAATGTTCTAATTATGTAATTGTCCATATTTATTTAAACTCAGTAATAACTTAAACATTCATAGAGTTCCAAAAGCAAGTATGTATGTCTCCAGGTTCATTGGAAATGTGCCTCACACTTTTCTATGTTTCTCTATAAAGACATTTAAATTATTTTTTTGTGTGTCTATTTATAGACACCCACACCCACACCCACACACACACACACAGATACACAATTCTCCCTGCTTACATAAAAGGTAGAATATGATTAAGGTGACCAGACAATTTTTCTCGTGTCCCGCGGTGTTTTAAAAAAGTCCCGATTTTTGGAAAGAATGCACGACAAGCTAGGGTATACGGTTTTCGGCTG